GGGTCAGGAATCACCGGGGGTCAGCCGCCGGCGGCGTCCGTATCGCGATCGGGACGAACCCGCACGCCGACACCTGTAGTGGATGTCTAGGTTTCTTCGGGGAGGTGGGGGTTGTATTGTTGTGCAGAGAACCACATGGTATCGGGCTAAAGTTAGCTCTGAATGGCTTGAAATTTGTGTGTGGAACTGATTTCGAACTGTTGAGTGTTCAGTACGGGTCACGAGGGTGCTTCAGGTAACGTGGTTGTCAAACAGCACGTCGAGGGGGAGGCGGGAATGGCTGGCGGACAACTTGTGGACAAACCCGGGGATGCTGTACTTTTGTCCCCTGGGCTATGTGATTTTTTTTTGTTATCCAACGTGTTTTCTGCAACCTTCAATACGTTCCTCTGAAACGGCGTCACGCGGGGGGTTAATATGGGTGTAAAATAGTTGCTTCAACATGTGGCACGGTTTTGGCGGAATTTACTGCCGTACAAGCCAAAAAGGGGGCAAAAGTGCCCATGTTTGGACAGGCATATCACCATCCATAGGCATCCGTTTAACGNGGCGTCACGCGGGGGGTTAATATGGGTGTAAAATAGTTGCTTCAACATGTGGCACGGTTTTGGCGGAATTTGCTGCCGTACAAGCCAAAAAGGGGGCAAAAGTGCCCATGTTTGGACAGGCATATCACCATCCATAGGCATCCGTTGAACGTTTTTTTTTTTTTGCGACTCGGAACAGGATGCGTACTAGTCGTTAGTTCATCAACTTCAACGGTTGAGCTGGTTCAAGGCAACACAACCCGCACTACCCCCCAAAATGGGTATTTTTCGCCCCGCAGAATTGAGCCGGAAAACCGGGGATATGGGCATTGTGTCCCCGGTTGTGGACCGATTTTTTATTATTATTTGTAATCGAACGCCCATCATACTAAGATTATGTGTGCCAAATTTGACGTCTTAGTACGCTTCAGAACCTTTGCAAATCGACCATCACCGGAACCTGCCCTTAATACCCGCACGGTCGTTCTCCGCGCATTTTTATCTGGAAAATCAGGTATACTTTGAGGGGTGTATCTCATCGCCATCTCAACTTATTTCCAAGTTTCTATTTTTATGTTGTAGGCTATGATATAAGCTATCATCCGATACCTCAACCTCTTCATAACTCATCGTGACACCAGAAAACGAGCTGCCGAGGTGGGGGGTGCCTTAGGTTGCCCTTGATACCCTCCCTTACTCTTATGCATTTATATGTCCGGTTGGGAAAGGCTCGAACTCTCCACGTGCTGTAGGTGCATGTACGCTCAGACACCAGCAGTTGGTCCTGCACACCCAACGGCTCTCGGCGTACTGCGTGCTCCTCCTCACCATGTTCAGAGCGGGGATTCTCCCGGAGGCGTCAATAAGCGCCCAGCCCATAACAGAGCTCTTTGAAGGGCGGGTAGGCACTTTTTCGTTATTTTCAACGTTTTTTTTTGTTTTTTTAGGGGGGCGCTTGTTATTATTTCAACAGTAACAGCGTACGGTAACAACCCCGCATGTCTGCTCTATCTGACCTGCCCACACACATGCATAGCATCGACCGCGTCGACCGTCCACATGCTTCAACCAACGCCCAGCCCTCACCACGCCCAATTGACTTAGATGGGTTGCTCGATTGACACAGTTCGTTCACACGTATGCAATATGAAAGGTAAACTACGCGGGGACGCCAGGCGGGGTGAACTCGACGCCGATGCCGTTGTCGCCGCAGAAGCGCCGGAAGTCGCCGCGGGTCCACTAGGTGCCGTTGTCGACGAGGAAACACTCGAGGCGTCCGAGGTCGTACCGCCCCACGTCCGCCAACAGCCTTTTCTTTGCCGCCAGCGCGTCGGACTTCCGCCGGAGACCGTAGACCTTGTTCCACCGCGAGGCGCTGTCCACGGCGACGAACAGGTAGAGGTTGCCGCCCAGGGAAGGCACCAGCGGTCCACACAGGTTCAGGTGAACACGCCCGAGGGGCTTAGACGCCCGCGCTCCCGGCCCCCGCGGCACCGACCCTCGCCTGCCCTTCGCCCTCATGCAGTCCGTGCACGGTTCCAGCTTGCCCGTGAGCACGATGCCTCTCTGCTGGGCAGTTTCTCTCAAAATAGGCTCGCAAGCGAGAGCAAGGGAGCGGTGGAAGTGGTTGATTTCAACGGACTTTTCAGTCGAACCAAGAGCAAACGGGGACGCACCAGGGCCAAGCGCGACCGCACCCAAGTCAAAATCAGCACCCCCATCAATGCTATCCAAAACACCAGCCACATTCGCAGCGTCACTCTCTGGGATAAACACGGGGAAAAAATCTTGATACGGGGTGTCATCATAGCCATCCATGAGCTGCTCGTCGGTGAACACACTCTTATCTCCAAGATCCATACCCGGAAAAGTACCACACGAACTCGGACGTCGAGGAAGGTACTACGTCGGCAGAGCCGGCGGGCGGGACACTCTCACTCGCAGGTACTACACTGGTGGGACCAGTGGGCGGGACGCTATCAGCCGAAGGTACTACCCTAGCAGAGCCAGCAGGAGGATTACGCAACACGGACACCAATGATTCCGCGGAGCCCCCTTCTTGGGAAGGGGAACGCGCGGAACCAACTGCTGGTGCGGAATCGGGGGCAGTCACAAATGCGGGCAAAGCAGCAGTCTACTGTAGTCGCAGATGGGTCGTACGGCAAACGCATGGCATACGCTGCAGACGCTTTTTCCTCTCTAGCAAAGAGCTGTTCATGTTGTAGGGTTGCACCACGCTCGTCGTGGAGGATTTGTTGCTTCAGAGAAACAGCATACGTTGAAAACAAATTGAAGCTCAGGCTCTCTACTACAGGCACGTCAGTGAGCTTCACACACATCGTCGTTTTCTCACCATTCTCATCCTCCTGGAAGAAACTAAGATTGATGCTACCGATAGGTTGCACTTCGAGCAGTCGACCATCACCTACAACGACCTTCTTCCTACTTACTGGCGGGGATCTCTTGCAGGTCGTACATGTGCAGGCTGCTGTTGGTAAAACTGTTGCTGGCTCCTGAGTCAGCTACCCATCTCTCGCTACCAGGCGGTCCGTTACTAGATTCCACACTCAGCAAAGACGAAGCAGACGCAGCAGACTCTACTCTAATCGTCACTCCTACCCTACTAAAAAAAATCTTCGGGGTGAGACTTGCCTAGAGGCAGCGATTGTGTCGTGCAGAGGTGAAGGTAGCCCGAAGACGGAGGCGCACCAGGAGAAGGGGAAGAGGACGAGGAGGAAGCGGTGCTTCTGCTGCTCGCGTGGGGGGGCTGACGTGGCTGCTCGGATAACGAATCTTCGCCAGCGGGAGGGTGGTAGACGTAGTGGATGCCGCCGTCAGATGAACGGCTGTCTTCGTACCCTAGGAGTAGTTGCAGCTGTTCCCACCGCCGGCGTAGTGAGCGTACCCGGCGTCGTGGTAGCCGTCATCGTGGTAGTATCCGTCATCGTAGTCGCCGTAGGCTTCGTAGTATCCACCATCATCTTGTGTATAGTAGACAACGTACGCCTGCTTTCTTCCGTGGCCAGAACGCGCGTGCCCCGGGCCTCTCCCTGCCCGCTCCCTCTCGGCACGACCGTCGCTGCTGTGGCGTCCCGCGGGAACACGATCTCCTGGGTGACGCCCCAGACGACCACCAAGCCCACGTTCACGAAGAGGTCGCGGGGGGGGTGAGGCTTGGCTCCAGCCACCGCCACCATGATCGGTGTGGTGCTGCTGCCCTTCTATCCTTAGCCATCGCCCGCCACCGCGGCCGCGCCCCGGCGGCGGTCTACCATACCCCCTCGCTGGCTACCGCCGCCACCGCGGCTGCCGCCGCCCGAACAGCGTTCCTCGGCGCCCTCTCTCGAACGCGCGCGCCGCAGTTGCTGCTGCAAACGACACTGCTCGTTGGTGTGAAGCTCGGGCTGGTGGTAGCGGCAATATCCGCCGGGGTCGTCGTTGAACACGTCACCCTTTTTCTTCTCGCGGGCTCGATCTTGGCCGCCAGCTGCTGCGTGACCGCCGTCTTGACCCCCGGATGCCCCCCCACTGCCCCCGCCGCGCCGGCCCATGCCGGACGCGGCGAGAGCGAGATCCACCTCGCGCCTCTCCCCCTTGCTCCTCTCGCGCTCCATCTCCACGTGGGCGCCCCTCACCACAGTCTCAAGGGTACGCAACGTCAGGACATCGTGGGCAAGCAGTATTCCTTTTTGCACGACATACGAAGAGGGAAGGCCACGAGCAATGTCTTTGTTGGCATCTGTTTCATCCTTAATCATGCCTACAGACGCTAGACGCAAGCGAAGGGCTTCTGCCCGGGCAACATAGTCCTGTGGACTCCCAGACGCTTTCTTCATCTCCAACTCCTTCCAGTCCTGCTCCAACCTCGACTTTTCTGGCTGCTTCTCCTGATAGAACTCTCATAAGATTTTCCAGCCTTTTTGTGGACTCTCGCACGCCAGAATCAAGCTCTGAATCGGGGGGTACAAGACCTTGCTGATGAGAATATTCCATACCTTGAAAGACATTTCTACCACATTATTGCCAAAAAGTCTCCGAAGCTCTGCTACATTCACACCCCGACCTTGACCTCGACCTCCAGTTCCAACGCATCATGCACACCCTCCTCCTGAAAATATGAAATCGTCTTGCCACGAAAAATATCAAACATAATATACAAGTCCTGCTACTTCTTCACGCTACCAAGCCAAGGTTCTTTTTCTGAGCCAGGATTGACACGTAACGTGCCTGAGCGGGCAAAGCCCTGTTGCTCAGCAATGGCCTCAGCTGTCGCCTTTGCCGCTTGCGCCACGATGTGTGCGACGCTGCTGGGGTCGTTGAAGGTGGCTGGTTTGCCCTGTCTGGAGGGTGGTGGCTGGTTGCCAGTAGGTGGGACTGGGTTGACGGCTGGTGGTTGGGCGTAGGTGACTTCACCCTTGTTGATCCTGTTGGCTTCAAGTTCGGCTTGTNAAAGCCCTGTTGCTCAGCAATGGCCTCAGCTGTCGCCTTTGCCGCTTGCGCCACGATGTGTGCGACGCTGCTGGGGTCGTTGAAGGTGGCTGGTTTGCCCTGTCTGGAGGGTGGTGGCTGGTTGCCAGTAGGTGGGACTGGGTTGACGGCTGGTGGTTGGGCGTAGGTGACTTCACCCTCGTTGATCCTGTTGGCTTCAAGTTTAGCTTGTACTCGTTGCTGGACGATCTCCTCCACTTTTTTTGTAGTTCTTCCCCGCTAAGGGTGGAGAGGTCGACGCCCTCCATGGTGTCTGTTGTTGTGGGAGTCTACCGATTGCGCATGACTGCACAGCCCCCGGAAGGCTACGCCCGCGCGCAGATACCGTGATATCGCACTAGTGTGAAAGGTGAACTACTCGGGGTGCAGCAAGCCCGTCCTGGGCGTTACTTGGGGCACTGGGTAGTCGGCCGTGTTAGGCCGAGAGAGAGAGGTGGAGAGAGAGGTGGAGAGAAAGTGGGAGAAGGAAACTTGATTGGACAGAGACGGCGGTGGCGGTGGAGGGAGAGAAGGAAGAAGTGCGCAGCACGCACGCAAGCCTCATCGTACCAACCGCGCCAAAAGGGTCCCCGTGACTGCACCGGTAGTACCCTGCAACACACGAAATTCCCAACACGTATCCCCTTGGGATCCTCACGACCAGATACTGCTGCGAGTATATCTAACACAATACATATCGTGTTGAAAGCAAGAATCAACGGAAACCGTAGGTGGCACAAGATACCACACCCCCTTGATCAAGTCTCAACCTATATTGTTCCACGACAAACCTGTTTTCCATCGGCACCGCCGACCACAGCGAAGGCTATTACACGCACGTCTTCCATTGATTTCGCATACCCTTCGGCGATTGCGGAAATTGCCTCGCGAGGCGAAGATGGTGCAGCCTGAGACCACTGTTTATGGCAAAAAAATCTTGATCTTCCTTTCTTTCGACAAATGTTGACTTTATCGACCTTTTGGGCAGTCTGCCTCCCGAACGAGTTCGAATCAGCTGTTCGACCTTTGAGATCAGTCACAGCTTTGGCTGAGATGACTACAGATTGCCTACATTTTTCGCCAGGGCCCAGGTTTGATTTTTTCAAGATGCGCAATTTTCACGCAAGATTTTTGTNGCAGTTGTTTTTACCATCGCGACGTTGTTTTCGTCGACGTCGGTGACGGCAATCACCACTTCGGTTCCAATCGGAACGAAGCAGCCTGCAAAGGCCGAGCTCGCGCTCTCTGCCTGATCCATGGTGTGCATCACGTGGAGAGATTAATTTGTTGGCGGCTTGGACGCAGACAAGAAGCGCGAAAAAAAATGTAGATTGTCTTCAAACACACAACAAACCGAAACCAACCGTGACCCTCGTTTGCCGCGTGAACTCCTTGAACGATAAGAGCTACATACAGTACGGGTTGACAACAGAATTGTAGTTGCTGTTTGTTGTGTAGTTGGCAGTGGTGGCGCAGTTTGGGTAGATACAACACAGAGTGATCATTAGATCCAAAACACAGGCGCCCAAGCTGTCTTCACCTGACGGTTACAGACTTGGAGACACGCCTTCACAATACTGCACAAAACCCATGCAGTAGAATAGAGTCAGTTCTTGCATACAAATCCCAACATGTCCTCTCAAGAACTACGTCATGACTAGCTCTGATACATAAGACACAAAATTCTTTCTCTCAGTGTCCTCTCGAAACAAATACCAGTGTCCTCTCGACAAATGCTATCAACATGAATGCATGCTCTCGAACAATTCAAATTGAATACTCATCACTAACTGCCAGAGTTTTCTGGGCAGCGAATTCCATGTACCGTCCAACCCTTTTAAGACATATGGTCTGATTTCGGTAAGGGGAGGTACTCACACTCCAAGCAAAATAAGGCGGTTCTGCAGGAACTTCACAGCTCCCGAACTTTTGGTCAATATGTCTGCCCTCTGCCTGTTGGTGTCGATGTAAGTTACATCTACCACGTTTTGGTCCTCTAGGTGCCGGACGTGGTGGAACTTCACGTCGATGTGCTTCGTGCGGGGCGTGATTTTGCTACCCTTTGCGAACGCTACGGCACCCGCGTTGTCCTCGTACAATACTGTTGCTTGCTTCTGCTTCATCTTCAACGACTCTAGCAAATTTCGAAAATGTATAACCATGAGGCACGCCTTGGACAGCGCGACGACTTCTGCCTCGAACGTGGAGATGGCCAGCACCGTTTGATTCTTGGCTATCCAGATCACTGGGCCACCTGCGAGATAGAGAACGACACCGGTTGTGGAGTAGCCCTTGTCTTGGTCACCGGCAAAGTCAGAATCCGCGTACGCCGTTAGCTTGTCTCCGCCGTCGGCGTCTTCGGTGTATGTGATCCCGATAGTGGTTGTCCCTTTTAGATACCTGAGAACCCGCTTCAGCTTTGCCATCGCCTTGGGACCCGGTTTCGCCATGCTCTTCGTAAGCACCATCACCGAGTGGGTAATATCCGGCCTCGAACCCCTGCTGAGATACAGGAGACTGCCCGTGGCGGACCGGAAGTACACCGTGTCCTCTGGAGACAAAACCTTCTCCTCCACGGTGCTGATAGGCCCAGCCTCCGCAGGCGTCTTCGTAGAGTGCGCGTCGGCCATTCCGAACTTGTCAAGTACGGCCTTCGCGTACATCTCCTGCGACAGGAAGATCGTTCCGGCGTCGACGTTCCTCTCAAGTGCCATACCGAGCAGGAACTGTGCATCTCCCAGGAACACTGTGTCGAACCGCTCCTTCAGCTGCTCGACGACCCGCATCACCTGCGCTTCGTCGCTTCCCGACAAAAGAATGTCGTCGACGTACACGAGAAGGAGGACCCCTCCCGCGTTAAGGATGTAGAGACAGGGGTCCGCCGTACTCTGAACGAACCCGATCTCCAGCAGGAAGTCGTGGAAGGTGCCGTTCCAGCCCTTCGGAGAGAGGCGCAGCCCGTAGAGCCACGCCTTGAGTCGCCACACTTTTCCCTGTTGTTCCGGAGAGCACTCGAACCCTTTCGGAGGGATGACGTAGATCGGTTTCGCATTTGCAGGAACCCGCGCGTGGAGGAATGCCGTCTTGATATCGGCTTGCTTCAGGCCAAAACCATTCTTGGCTGCGATAGCAATCAGCAGGTGGACGGATTCCATGGACGCCACAGGCGCCGCTTTATCCTCGCCCGTGTCTGCTTGGTGAAAGCCTTGGACCACAACGCGGCTCTTCAGTCGAGCAAGCTCGCCATTCTTGTACTTCCGCTTATAAAGGTACCTTGACGGGATCGGCTGGTCCTGGGCACTCGTCGGCGGCTCGACCCAGTCGTACACATCAAGGTCGACAAGCGACTGGTTTTCGTTCCGCATGGACTCTTGCCAGTCTAGAGCATCCTGCCCACGGATCGCTTCGTCGTAGCTCGAAGGGTCGGGAGCCCTGTAGCCCACTTCGCCAGGGTTGCCAGTCCCGTTGTTGCCAAGCGAGCTTCCGGTGAGCAGGGAGCGTTCCACTTGCTCGAAGGCCTCCTCCTCCGTGGCAAAGGTAAACAGGTTCAGACGTTCAGTCGGCTTGGGGTTCCTGGTGCTGCGACGGGGGCCCGGCTCTTGCGCCTGAGGCGTGGGCTCCGGCTCGTTATCCTTCTGCTCGTCTTGTGGCTCCACCACACTGTCGACGTCGTCATCAGACTCTTCCGGACCGGGATGGTAAATCATTGGAGTCTCTGGCAGCGGATCAT